TAGGATATAGCTCAGTACAAAGGACTTGGGTTTAGTCCCCAGTTCAAAAAAGGAAAAAAGAAAGTGGGAATGAATTGGACACAGAACCACAAGGGCAAATGCCAGTATAAGTGAGTCCCCCATGGGTCGGCGGTTCCTGATCAGACACTTAACCATTTGGCCATCCACCAGGATAAAGCAGCACCCCACGAGACGGGGACTACGATCCGCTTAAGGCTACCCGTGGGGGTACAGGGATGAGGCAGACTTCCCCTCTTCCCTGCTCTGTGTTTATTGCATTTATTTATCTACTTTTTTTTTTTTTTTTTTTTTTTTTTTCATTTTTTTTTTTTTTTGCCGTGCTGGGGATGGAGCCTAGAGCCCCAGGTGTGCTAGGCAAAGGCTACCACTGAGCCACCCTCCCAACCCGACCCTGTGCTGTTTAAAAGACCAAAATACTGTTTTCATCCAGTAGTGGAAATGTTCCAATATTTGGCTGTCGTGTGCTGCCCTGCTTCCCAGGGTGGCAGCAAGTAAGTCTGTTGGCTGGTATTGCCTTGGCATTGATTCGGGAGAGGTGGCAGACGGGCCCTGTGGAATAGCAAGCAGGTTGGCATGGAGGCCTTAACACCCAGAGGAGTTGGCTCAACACAGCCCATTTGGCACATTTAATCCTGCTGAAAACCTGGCAGTGGGAGAGGTGATATCACTGGAATCAATTGCCCCACAATTGCCAGTCCTGGGTAGAAGTAACTCAAGAAATCGATTCAGAATAACTGCACCATTCTTGTGGGCTGCCTGCCTGCCTGTGTGCCAGTAGGCAGATTTCCATTAGCCCACTGAGCTCTCCCTTCAGCCCTGAGACTCGGTTACTGTTCTGAGCATCCTCCGTGTACAGATGGGACCACCAAGGCTCAGAAGGGAAGTGTGGCCAGCTGGGTAGTGGCTTCCAAAGGAATCTGGTCCTAACTCCTCCTGGGACCTCTGTCTGTCACCATATGTGGAAAAGACATCTTTGCAGATGTGCTTCAACTGTGGATCTTCAGGAAGGGATAGGTTATCCTGGATTATCTGGTGGGCCCTGTAGGAGGCTGCTGGCAGATGTGTCAAATCCCGCTTTGCAATGTCTGCTCCACGTGCATTCTTATCTTTGGGAACCTTGCCTGACGGGGCCTCCCTTCAGCCCACCAGCCCGAACAGGGCCTAAATGCCATCTGTCATGGTTTGGATCTGGAAGTGTCCCCCAAAGACCAAAGTCTTGGTCCCCAGCCTGTGCTGCTGTTGGGAGGTGGTAAAAATTTTAAGAGGTGGAGTTAAGTGGGAGGACTTTGGGCCATTGGAGGCATGGCCCTGTAGGAGACTGTGGGTCCCTGGTCCCTGTTTTTCACTCTCTTTCATTTCCTGGCCATGGAGTCAGCAGGTGGCTTGCTTAGTCATGGACTAAAACCACGAAAGTGGTGAGCCAAAAGGAACTTTTCTTTTTCTAAGGTGCCTAGGTATTTAGTATAATCACAGAGTAGCACTTCATCACAGCCTCCACATAAGAGACAGAAGAAAGAGACTCCATACGCACACAGGGAAGGTCTTGTGGAGATGGAGGAAAAGTTGGATGAGATGATCCTACCACAAGCCAGGGGACCCCAGAGCCACCAGGAACTGGAACAGATAAGGAACGAATTCTCCTCCAGAGCCTTCTGAGAGCATATGAGAGCAGTGATTTTCCTCCCAGTGATGCTGATTTTGGACATCTGGCCTCCAGAACTGTGAGAAAATAAATTTCAGTTATTTTAAATGAACCACCAAGAAGGATGCCATCCGTTACAGAAGCCACAGGAAATATATAGGAACTGACTTGGCCAAGACCAAATTGCTAGGGAGTAGAAGTGTTGGGCTGCAAGCGTAGCAAGTGTTCAATAAATGTACAATAAAGTGGTTACGATGACGCTGCTGCTGCTGCTGCTGCTGCTGATGGCTATGCTGCAAACAGAGGCTGAGTTTCTGGGATTAAATGTGAAAAAGGCCGTGAACGTTCATCTAACCTCCTTCATCTATCCCAACAGCTGCTGTTGGGGAGAGACAGGATCTGGTGATTCAGTATGAAAAGATGTTGTTAACTCTGGGTGGGGCTGGTTCAGGAAAGTGATGCAATTTTGCAAAGTGAACACCTAGCCCCCACTGAGTCAATTCCAAGGCTTGGAAATGATGCCACTTGTCCAACTGGTCCTGACAGTCAAGTTCAGAGGGAGTTTGTAACTCGTGGAGAATTACGGTGGCCAAGTAGTCCAAAAGAAGAAGGGGTTCCTCTGTCTCATACTATTTCCCTCACAACACATGTTTTGGGTTTTTTTGATTGTTTGTTTATTTTTTGGTACCGGGGATCGAACTCAGGACCTCGCGCTTGCCAGGCAGGTGCTGTGCCACTGAGCTACATCCCCAGCCCAACACATGACTATTTTTTAAGTTAACTTTCTGTCTTCTTTGGTTCAGAGTAAATATTCAACAAATATCTGAGTATATGAATGTCTGCCCTTCTACAGTAAACTGGATAGGGACTGTTGTTAAAGCCAGATTGCCGAAGGTCTGTGTGACTTTCTCCCTTTCCTTTCCTTGCATTGTTTTGTTTTGCTTTTTCAGTATCAAGGATTGAACCCAAGGTTTTTGCACTGAGCTACATCCTCAGCCCCTTTTATTTTTTATTTTGAGGTAGAGTCTCAATAAATTGCCCAAGCTGTAATCCCCTTGGCTCAACCTCCCAGACTGCTGAGGTCATCACCACCCACACCCAGCTGTCACAAATACTTCTAAAACTAGAATTAATCCTATAGAATTAGACTGGAGTTGAACCTGTCAGACTGAAAAACTGTGGTTTTCAATATAGATAGATGATTCTAGAAACACAGACATAAATGTGTGTATAAAACTGCTCACTGAGCCAGACATGTGGTGGTGCACATCTGTAGTCCCAGCAATTGGGAGGCTGAGGCAGGAGGATTGCTGTGATTTCAAAGACAGCCTGGGCTACACAGTGAGTTCCAAAGCCAGCCTGAACTAACACAGTGAGATCTTGTCTCAAACAGAAACAGACAAAAAAGAAAACAAAAATACACCAACAAGAAACTCTGCACTGAGAGGACCCAGGATCTGTCATATCCCAATAACCATAGTCAGACTTTGGTTTCTAAAACCACACGCCACTGAAAGAAACCAGCTACAGGATCTCTGGAGAAACGGCTGACTTCAGAGCTAGGGAGGGAAAGTACAGGAGAATCCGGAGCTGCCTTGAGCCAGGCGGTGTTAGGTGATAGGGACAGATGACTGGACACAGGAGCCAGCTTCCAGGGCTGTCGCGGAGTTGTCTGGGACAATTTGAGTACTCGGGCAAATGGTAAAAGCAGTACAGTGTGACCACAGAATCACAAGCTTACACTGATATAAATAAATGAGTACAAAGATTCCTAAATGATGGGATATTTACTTATTCCTGCAGCACCTGCCTTTGCTATGTTTATTAATTTCACAGAAGAACAGCTTTATCTCGGAGAAGCCAGGGTGATCACATTATTCAAGTGAGCAAAGGTAAGATCTTCCATAATTGGGACCAAGTGAAACCGCATATCCTCTGCCAGGACACCGCACTGCTCCTGTGCTATTTTGTGATGCACAGAAGCCACAGTCTGCGTGTAACCTAAGATGTACAATCTGGATGTAGTTGTGAGAAAACCTCAGACAGACCCAGATTAAAGGGTACAAAGCAGTTGCCCTGTCCTCATCATAAGCGTCCAGGTCAGCCCCGTGTGGCAGCTCAGTCCTGTAAACCCAGCACCCTGGGAGCCTGAGGCAGGAGGATCACAAGTTCCAACCCAGCTTGGGCAACTTAGTGACTTTAGTGAGAGCCTGTCTCAAAATAAAAATTAAAGGCTGGGAAGGTAGCTCAGTATGAAGGCCCTCAGTTTAATCCCCAGTGCCAGAAACAACAACTTGTCAAGGTCATGGGAGTCCGGGAAAGACTGAGGAATATTCCAGACTTGAAGGATACTCAAGAGATGGGATGGCTGCACGCAGCACGTGATCCTGAACTGGGCCCTTATCCCACAAAGGATATTACTGGGGCAGACAGCACACCTTGGACAAGATCTGAGGATAGCAGGGTAGGAGGGTATCATCGTGCATTTCCTGCACTGGTGGATGAATTGATTCTGTAGGACACCTTCTTTGGAGGAAATACACATTAACATAGTCAGGAGGATGGTGCATTATTCAGGAATGTATGCTCAGATAGTTCTGGATTAAAACAAAGTTATTCTATTACACTTGTAACTCTTTCGTAAGCTTGAGATTGTGTGAGAAGAAAAAGGAGTACAAAATAAAAATTGTATGTGGTTTACATAGTATTTCATTCTTTCTTTGTAAGTTTTTATCATTTAAAAATAAAGGGATGGGGCCTTGGATTTAGTTCAGTGGTGCCACTGCCTGCCTTGCAAACGCAAGGTCCCAAGTTCGATTCCTGGTATCAAAAAATAAAAAATTTAAAAAAAATAAAGGGGCTTTTTTTTCAAACTTACAAATCTAGGTTTTAGACTTTTCTTGAGGAATGTGAAAAGCTAACCACCAGGGCAATGGGTTTTAGGGGTGAGTGGCCTGATAGCATCTTTTATTTTTATTTATTTATTTTGGTTTTGAGATAGGGTCTCACTATGTAGTCGAGACTGACCTGGAACTCACAGCAATCCTCCTGCCTCAGCCTCCCGAGTGCTGGGATTACAGGCATGCGCCACCACGCTTGGCTGATAGCATCTTTTAGATGCGTGATGTGGCCCTCGCTTCTCCAGTCTCCCCACTCCTCAGCATGTCACATCCAACCCATAGCATCTATTTTATGCTACCAGCTTGGCACCTGGTACCTACTCATGCCTGTCATAGCCATGGGTAGATGAGAATCCACTCCAGAGCAGGCACTTCAAACAGGGCTGAGTGGATGAACTTTCAAAACACACCACCAACCCGGAGTAAGGACCTATCTCAGCACATCAAGCCCATGTTTTGGGCCAAGATTCTTCTTGTATCAGCCGTGGTTTCTGAATGGCCTGCCTTGATGGAACAAGTTGAGAATCGGATGTCACCCGCTGCCAGAGGTTCCCGGTATGAGCTGTGATCTCTCTGCAGAGTTGATGGAGGCCTCTGAAAGGTGGGTGGGGTTCTGGCACGGAGTTGAGGTGCTGGGCAGGCTAGTGAGGCTTTGAGGAGATGGTATCGTAGGAGGCCCAAGGCCTTGAGGTTGGGTGGGGTGGGAACGAGCCGAAGGTAGTGGCTTGGGATCCTGTCAGTGGGAGACCCGGTTTGCTGGGGCCTGTCCTGGTCTGGGCGATACGCAAAACATAATGATGGCTTTGTCTTTCCCAGGCCCTGTCATTTCCTGATTCTATCTGGTTTATGCCCTTGGTTTGAAGCAAGCTCTTCTCTCATCTGTCCCCTGAAACATTACATTAAAAATATAAAGTTTGGCAGATAGTTTTTTTTTGTGTGTGGTACTGGCAATTTCTCACGGCTCTTACCATAAAATGCAAACTCTATACCACTCCCTAACCCTGCCCACCTCTCTGACCTAGTTCCTATCCTCCACTCATCTCTGGCCCTTGCTTACTCCTCTACCATCCCCTCTCCCGGTCTCTTTAGCCTCCAGGACACACCAAGGCCTTTGCCACCTGAAAGACCTGCCCACGCGCCTCCCACCTGGTCTTTGACCTGGGTGTTTCCTACTTCAGATCTCAGCTCGAGCCACTTCTTCACAGGTACTGCTCCCAAGCATCTACAGCCCATCACAGCCAGCGGGCTTCAGTCGCTTCCTGTCATTCTCCAAAGCCACATTTCACTATCATTCCACCATTTTCTTTTTTTTTGGTATCGGGGATCAAATTCGGGTCCTTGCGCTTGTGAGGCAGACGCCAGAACCGCTGAGCTAAATCCCCGGCCCAACCATTTTATTTTCTTTATTCAAATTCAGCAGAGTCTGAACCGTTCTTATTTACGTATTTCATTGTGTCCCCACTAGAATGTCAGCTCCTCGAAGGCAGGGATTTTGCTAGACTGCTTATCCCTTTATGGATAGCTCAGCACATGGTGCAGAGTAGGGGTGTAATGAATTTTTACCCTGGAACGAATAAGAGGCTACCTAAAACAGCATGCCAGATTTTTAGATAAACTGAGCGTTGCTTTTAGGACATAAGCATCTAGGTGAGTCGTGGCTGGATGAATGGGGATCAGGTGGTGAGAAGCACATTCTCTGCGCTGTTAGCCTGATGCTAGATTTGGGAAACGAGCAATGTCAGGTGAGTGGCTGAGCTGGATTATAAACGGGTCTTGGTCTACCAGCTAACGTCAGACTGTTGAGGTCAGATTGGACCCAAGATTTGGTGAAACAGGGATCCAGTTGGGCAGTGAGTGGGTGAGATAACTTGCGACCTGAGCAGTGTCCAACAGGTATGAGGTTGCTAAAGGTGGAGAATCAAGCACTTGAGCGTCTGTCTCCCTTGGTTGCAGTCACAGAGAATCATACCCCGGCCCTGTCCAGCAAGGTCACCAGGGGCTGTGGGAGGACAGGCCCCGTTTGGGGCGAAGCAGGACGTCCTGAAGAGTGCTGGCTGGCATGGAAAATAACGTGGATGCTGTGTAGATTGTGAGCACGGACTCGTCAGGAGCCAGCCTATTTAAATTCGGGGGCCAAGCAGGGGGTGGTAGGAGTCACGCTTGGAAAAAGCTTATCTAGGAGCGGCTCACTTGGGAGGACTGGGACCAAAGTGCCGCGGGCTTCCACATCGCCCCGCCCCCAAGCCAATGACCACGCGAAGGCCGCCGGAGGCAGGCCTGGATTGGACCGGCTGGTGCGGCGGCGGGCCCGGATTGGGTACACGC